ATCCATCCATCCATCCATCCATCCATCCATCCATCCATCCATCCATCCATCCATCCATTGTTGTTCCCAGTTAAATCCTCTGCAGCCTTTTTCCAGCAGCCGTTTAGCAGTTCTGACTGAAGCGAAGCTACATCTGAATTCACCGTCTCACTTCAGAGCCACGTTTAATGAGCAGAGCAAAAAATACCAGCAGAGATGAAACTGCTGACTTTTCTGAATGAGGAGCAATTGTCTTATCAGTACAGCCTGCAGCGCTGCATAATAAATGGTTCAGAGCAAAAAACTGACAAATTGGAGAGAGTTTAAAAAAAATGGTCCTAATGTTAGACTGAGAGAAAATCTGAGAGAACAGATTTAGTATTTCAGCAAGTCTGTAAGTTTTGCAGCAAATGTTGAGGCTAGTTGTCTAAATCTGTGCCCATGTTTCAGTTTTTACTGCAGCACAAAATGCAGTCATCCTGGTGTTTTCAGTTATGGTTTCTGTGGTTCTTTCAGTTGTGTTTGGTTACCTTGGTTTCCTTTTCTGTCCTCAGTTTGCTCATTTTATTTGTCCAAAGATTAGACAAAGAAGACACAAGAGAGGCGCTTGAACACACTGGTTTTAGAAGAAAAGGTTTGGTGTTATAATACTTTGTTTAGTTTTGCTCAGTATTTTGTAGTTTGTGCTGGAGATGCAGTGATCAGGTTTTTATTCTCTGATACTGATTAGGGCTTTTTCTCTGAAGTCGGATCTGCTCACTGTGATTCTGGATTAATTTAATTTAAAAGAAAACAAAGGAACTAGTGAAGAATTTATGTACGATGGATGGATGGATGGATGGATGGATGGATGGATGGATGGATGGATTTGGAACTGATCTGCAGAATGTGTCATTTTTTTCATTGGACTTTGTCAGAATATTCAATGAAATAACCTATTACTTAAATAAGTGTTAGCTGCAGAGATCTAAAATGCTTCATAATCAAGTATCAACCATGATTCTCATGAAGAAGTTGAATCATTTTCTTTGAAAGTGGTATTTTATGTTTATTTGCAGAAATTATTTGCTTCTAGTTGGCAGAAATTTGCAGCTTCAGGGTTGGATAGTTTTAGGTGGAACTGTAAAAACAGCACAGATTTATGGGGACAGAAGTTGAACACGTGTCCAAAGTGTGTTTTGCACATCTTGAGACATAATGTGGTTCTGCGGGTCACCGCCCCTCTGACCACCATGACTTCCCCTTTGACACATCCACTCTAAGTCACATGCTAAAGGAAGACGAGTCAGTACGGTGTCATCACGGTTTTCACGATGAAAGAGCGACTTCCTGACCTGAAGTCAAAACAAACGGCAGGAGCAAATGGCAGCGACGCGTTTCAGGAGAAGTCTGTTGCGAGTTATCTCGATACACAGAGAGGACGATGAGGCGTTTGCTAGTTTATCCGCAGCAGAGCCAGAGGTAACCTTTCGTTTTGTTTGATTTCTCCAGCAGGAACGGCTGTAAATTCTCTGATGTACAGACAGAGTGTGCTTCGTGAGACCACCAGGCGTCTCATTCTCATGTGTTCCTCCAGGCTGTTTGTTCGGCTCCTGCATATTTCATTTCTATTGATCTCCATGCAATAAAAATCAACACAGGACCCAGTGTTGGAGCTTTGGAGCTCCGGTATTATTTATGGCTCCTTGTCACTGTGGCCGGGCGACTTTAAATAATTATGAGACGTCCCTCGTTGAATTCATCAGATTTTGTTTTTTATATATTATTTTTTACATTTATTTTTTTTTATCAACAGAAGAATGAGTCTGTTTTTTTATATTAGTTATAGTTTTAATACAGTTAATAGCATGAATATAAGATTTTTTATTTTTGTTTTGTCAATTGTTTTTTTTTTATAATTTTTTTGTCAAAAAAAGAATAAATCTTTTGTTTTATTTTATTTATTCATTGTTTTTCATTTATTTATTTTTTTCTCCAAAAAATTTAATGAAACAACAAAAATCAGCTGTTTTTGTGGGTTGTGGCTGCTTTTCAACCATCCATCCTTGTTTGTGTCTTTCATTTATGATGTAAGAAGTTAATTTAACTGATTAATAATTAGTGCTGCATTTGTTACACCAAATCATTTATTAATGACATCTGAGGAGAAACTGAACTGCTGAACCTAAATAAAACTAAAAGCTTGCAGAATCTCCAACTTAATACTCATTTATATCTGAATAGTGACCTTCATTCAGCAGCTGTCCAACATTTTAATTTTTACTAACCTACAGTTTAAATCTAGTTACCACAGTTCATAGCTATAAATTTATAGCTATAAATTTATAGCTATGAACTGTTCATAGCTATGAAATTTATAGCTATTGTTTCCTCAGACAGCAGACGCTGTTTGCAACAAGTTAAATTTAAAACAGGATCTGAAAACGTAAATAATATCTTCGTAGTCCTTAAAGGACAGCAAGTAATGTTTCTTTCAGTGACATTTCCTTATTTAAAAAACGAAAAAGCTATTTTAGCTTAGCACAAACTGGCAAACAATTTAAATTCCTAGTTTCCTAATTTGTTATTTTTTTGTTTGTTTTGCCTTAAGATATTTAAGTAATTGTGGGTGTTTAGCTGGCAGATAAAATAAATCTTTGCATTCAGATTTTTGATGAATGACAGCTGCATGAATTTTAAATCTCGGGCTCAAAAAGACGTCATCAGGTTTTAGGCTAACAGATTTAAAGTTTTTCTGTTTCTAGCTGCAGGGATCAATGTGTCTAAACTGTCTTCCTAATGTTCTGCACACATCTTGAGTTTTACTTCCTCTTTTCCAAACCTAGCTTGAGTCTGTGGCATCCAGAGTTTTATAACAGCAGCTTCTCTTCTCTCCTCCTCCTCTGTGCTCAAATTATTACTGATCGCGACAAAAAAATCTCAGTGTAATTTTACTCTAATATTTTACCACGTAAGAAGAAACGTAATAAAGGAGACACTAGTTTTTTCTCATTTTTTATTTATGTTTATGGGATTTTATTTAGCAGCCCAAACTTCTTTCCATGAGGGCTGAAATTATGCAGTTTGTAGAAAATGGGGAAAATATTTATTTTCATATAAGTTTCCACAGGCTCGCTTCTACACATTTTGAATTTGTTTAATCGCAGAAACCTCATTCAGTTTCCAGAAACATGCATAACCAATTTAATTCCTTTTTCTCCCACAGACTGGATCTACGACGGCCCAAAGCGTCTCCGAATCTCCGGTCTACACCAACCTCCAGGAGCTGAAGATCAGCAAGAAGAGCCTGCCGCCGCAGCCGTCCGGCTCGCCCCTTCACGTCGCCGGCGACTGGGAGACGTACACCGACCACAGCGGCAGACATTACTACTGCAACCGCTCCACCCATGAGAGGACATGGAAGCCCCCGCGGACCAAAGATGGTGGCGTCGGGAATGCCAGGGACGACAAACACAGCGCTGGAGAAAGCTCTGAGGTAAAGTTCACGTCCATCAGGACAATAAAAACCTGCGTACGGCAAAGTAAGGGCCGCTGAGTGGCTTTTCGTTGTGGTAAAGGAATTTATAAACGACAAAACTGGAAAAACACAAGATTTTACCAAGTACACTGCTCAAAAAAATAAAGGGAACACTCAAATAGCGCATCCTAGATCTGAATGAATGAAATATTCTCATTGAATACTTTGTTCTGTACAAAGTTGAATGTGCAAAATCACACAAAAATCATCAATGGAAATCAAATTTATTAACCAATGGAGGCCTGGATTTGGAGCCACACACAAAATTAAAGTGAAATGTTCCCTTTATTTTTTGAGCAGTATATTTTGGTCTAATTTCTAGTGCAAATAACTTTATACACTTAAAATAAGACACAATATAAACTAAAAGTAACTTCTCAGAAAAATGTAGGAGCTTGTTTTAAGTCAATAATTCTTTAATATTGATGAAAAAGATCTGTCATATTATTTCACTTATAACTAGAACTTTTTCAGTATGAAGGAATTATTGACCTAAAACAAGCTGCTGTATCTTACCAAAAAGTTACTTGTAAGTTAGTTTTGTCAGATTTGGACTAGAAACTAGAATACTTGTTAAGATTTTGTGTTTCTGTAGTGCAGTTCCTGCAATAGTAATCATATTGTACTCTCCCTCTACCTGGATCCAAATGGATTTGAAACCATGTTAAAAGCTTCATGACAATCTTTTAAAACTTCACAATCTGCATATTTTATTATATGGTAAGGAACACCTAGTAGTACCATAAGCTGTATGCTGTACTTAAGCTCTTCCAACCATTTATTTTCATGAACTTGTTGGATTTGTAGAAGCTTAAAACTACCTGGATTTATTCACACTCAGTTTCCCAAAAATCTTTTAAAGTTCTCCTTAGAGCTTTGGCTGCTTTACATTTTTGGTCAGCGATTTTCCAGCATTTCACTGCAAAGTATCTCATGTAACAAACGCGACTGATGCGCAGTTCCACCAGGTGTTTGCTAATTGCTGCTGGCTAGTCTGAAGGAGCACAGAGGGAGGGTAGTGTGTGTGAGACGGAAACTCGGTAGCATGGAAACTGCAGCTTTGAGGAGGAGCTGCACCTTGAAGGCGGGGCTAGGTCCACCCAGGCGTTTTGCGCAGCTAAACAGTTGCCATGGAGATTAAATGATTTCTCAGACATGCCAGAAAGAATCAAAGCAACAGTCCAAGTAAGTTTTGTTGAGGAAATGGCATTATAACATGGCGTAAAGATAAAAAGAGTGGATTTTACATAATACTGCTCCTTTAAATCCTTGTAGGATCGTTGTTGTACAGGAACCGCTGATTTAAAGAGATCAGGCCTTTTTTGTTGTCGCTCCACAATAGTGGGACAAGTTTCCATTAACTGTTAGACAATCGTCTTCTGTTGCTGTTTTTAAGTCTCTCTTTAAAAAAACACAATGGTTTTCAGTGAGGTTTGTCATATTCTATTTTGTAATTTTGTGGTCTTTTTAGTACATCTTATTCTGTGCTTAATGTTTTTATTTTATTATTTATTTCATCCTACTGCATAGCACTTTGGGTAAACATATTGGGTTTTTTTTCCATGTACTTTATAAATAAAATGGAAAGGTGTGTTTTCATGTTTGTAACAGTTAAACAGTTTTACCAAATATTAAAAAATGTGTCTGAAAATGAACTCAAAACACAAATAAAACATAAAAATAAACCTTATGGGATACCACTGATCACAACGGCCCAGAAAAACCAACTGCTTTAAATAAAAAATAGAACAAAGTAACAGAAGATTCAAGATTTTTCCACAGTACTGTAAGAGGCGCAGTGAAAACGCAATGCTAGCGTAAATCTAACAGGAAGTGACAAATAACATGCTTTGTTGATTAGTTTCCATGGTTACCAGATTTGTACGATTGCAGGGATCGCTTCCTCTCGTTCTGTGTTGCTAAACACGCACAGAATAATTTTTTCTGTAGAGTTTGCATAACTTGGTGCAGCATAGTTTAAAGAGTTAACAGCAGATTTTTTGCATAATTATTTTAGTTATCAATCATTCTTTGGGCTATTCTGTCAATTAATCAGAAAAAAACAGACATTCGTTTTTTTCAACTAGCCACTTAAGCTTACTTTATGCAGTATTAAAAATAAAACTTAAATAAGCCCTTAACTTCACTTAACATCATTACAGTGTTGGGCAGTTTTTGTTTTATTAACCAATTCTAATTGGATAGCAAAAGGTTCTTAATTGGAGAATTTTACAGAATTTGAACCATTTGACGCTAAAACACTTGGTGAGTAGTTTTGGTTGTAAATTATGCCTAAATACAAGCTGGATTAAATCAGGATTTTATTGTTCATAACATTAATCTGGCAGAATGAAGTTGCTGTCAGCTGTGACTAATAGTTATGGGAGATTTGGCTCATCAGAAGAAAAAAATAATAATCTGACAGAGTTGGAGTTTTTATTTTTTTTTGACAAGCATCTCATTAAACCCTTGCAGCAGAGTAATTAGTTCCTAAACTGATCTGAAATTGAACTGCTGTGTTTTCCTTCTAACGAGCCGACTGCAGCTCATCCGCAGCGAGTGTCTGTGATTACGATCAAAACCCACTTTTTTTTTTTTTTTTTCTCAAAACGCACTCTGGAGTGACGTCCCATCACATAAGTTTGCTTCCCTTGACTCTAAGATCACTGCAAAAACACACAAATTAAGTATTTTTGGTCAACTTTCTAGTGGAAATATGGTATTACCCTTCAGGTAGGATGAAAATAACCTTATAAATAAAATCTGTCTACATGACGCTTTGAAAAAAAAACCTGAACAAACCTTTAAAAATACACACCTTATAGAATCAGTTAATTTCTTCTTTTAGGTTTAAGAAAATGAAAAACAAAAGTTAGTCAAAGAGAGAATGCTGAACAATTAAAAATTAAGAATAAAAATATGCCATAATTTGTGGAAAGATGGGGGAAAATGCTTAAAACACACAAACTCTTAAAACCGACTGATCTACATGTTTTAATATTTTACATTATTATTATTTCACTTCCTAATAGTTTTATATATTGGTTAGAAAAGTCTATGTAGGGAAACATTTTGCAAATTAACTTACTGTGTAAGCTTTATGATACAGACATGGGACTGCTGTTTTATTCAGTTTGACTGTTATTGTGTCTATTAAATAAACCTAATAAAGAAATATAGAAATAAAACTTAAAATCCCAAAACAAGTAAAGGTGAAAATTACAGCATAGTAAAAACCCTCCTAAAAGTACATTTTCAAGTAAATGTATCAGAGTAAATGTAACAAGCTGCTACCCAACCAGCAAATTTAGATATTTGCACTTGAAACTAGACAAAATACTTTGGTGTTTTTGCAGTGATAACTTCTGATTCGTCAAACGGCTGCACCACACTGCCACCTACAGGCCAAAAGCATAAACTTTACTCAGTGTCAGTGCCTCAGGTTTACACTTCCTCCTCTGTTTTAATGGTGGGGGGCTGTTTCTGCTAAATCGCTGCATGACTGTCCCTCTGGTGAAAGGTGCTCTCTGTTTTCCCTCTGATGGTAGACCACTCCTCTCTCGCTCTCGCCGTCTTTCCTTCCCTTCCTGTCGCTGTCCGTCGGAGGACTCCAGCCTCTGTCCTCAGAGGACGCCTGCTTCAGCGCCTACTCTAGCCAGTCGGACAGCCTGTACGGCTCGCCGCTGAGCGGCTGGTCGGAGGAGATGGACGAACACGGACACACGCTGTACGTCAGCGACTATACGAACGAGAAGGTACCACCGAGCTGCTGCTGCTGCTGCTACTGTCTCTGCTGGGTGTTTGGGACTGCATGCTGGACCTGGTTCCTCTGGTTAATTAAAGTAAAAAACTTCCTCTTAAAGGGCGGGATTCTGACTTTTTTTTTTTAATTCCACTGCTTTGACAGTACTGGGACATATGGAAGAGGATTAGGACCACTGGAAAATAATTTTGACTTTCTGTCTCCAAATTCTGACTTAAATCTGAGATCAAAAGTCAGAATCCTGAAAAAAGTTCAGAATTCTGAAAATAAAAAAAAGAATACTGAGAATTAAAGTCGGAATCCTGGAAAAAATTGTAACAGAATTTAATTTTGAGATGAAAGTCAGAATTCTGAAAAAAAAAAAAAAAAAAAAAAAAAAAGGGGGAATTTTTGGGGTTTTGGGGAATTTTGGGGAAA